GGGAGGCTGAAAACAGGAGAATCATCATGAGTCCTAACTACATAGTGAGACCCTGGAGACTCTGTACCAAATATAAAAAGAAAAAAAAAAAAGAGTAGATGATAGTACAATGAATTCTCTGAACCATAAACTCAAATTTCATCCATTTATGGCTGATCTACTTGCCTTTCCATACTATTTTGAATTATTAGACAGCATATCTTTTTAACTGTAAATACATTAGTACAAATCTCTAAAAGACAAAGTATCTTTTAAACATATATTTGTTTTAAAATATTTACAAATACTGTAATATGTAACAGCTTAAAATCAGAAGTCTTGGGCCAGGGAGATAGCTTTGTGGTCTAAGCACCTGCCTGGCAAGCACAAGTACATAGGTTCAATCCCCAGTACCACATGCTGTGCCAGCCCAAGGTTGAGCCAGCCACTGAAACCACGCATGGTGGCACATGACAGTAATCCTAGCACTGAGGAGGCTGAGACAGGAGGATCACCACGAATCCGAATAACAAGACCCTGAACCAAATACATAAATAAATACATTAATAAAACAATTTTTTAAAAAAATTAAAGAGTGGGGCTGGAGAGATGGCTCAGTGGTCTAAAGCACCTACTTGAAACAAGCTTGGCAAAGCACAGGGACCGCGGTTCGATCCCCCAGCACCACATGCCAGCCAGACCCGCCCCCTGGTGGGCTGAGCTGGCCACACACACACACAATAAATAAATGTAATAAATAAAAATAAATAAATATTTAAAAAAAAAATTAAAGAGTAAGAAACAAGAGTCTATATATTCAGCGTGCCCTTAACTATGTTGAAAAATGCAATGAAAAATATCTAGAAACATATATAGCATAGTAACAAAAATAAATTTTTCCTCTCCCATAAAAAGTACGTTATACATATAATTAACAACTAAAATTCTTCCACCAAAATTAAAGCTAAGTTAGTAAGTCTTTAATGTAAAAAAATCAGATGTTGAACAGCAGTTTTAAATAGTAAGAAACAAAACGGTAAATGTGATTCCAAGGGAAAATGTAAAACTGTATTAAAGTATTCTTGGGCATTACCACTAAATTATCTACTTTTTTTTTTTTTGCAGTACTAGGGATTGAATTCAGGAATGAGCTATCTTCTTGACCCTACATTTTTAGAAGAGACCAACTGTTGAGGGCCTGGATGTAGCTCAATGTACAGCACTGGCTGGCTGGCTGTGAGATCCTGGGTCTAATAGGGTGAAAGGAGGCCAGGAGGTAGGGAGAGGAGGGAACAGGCAGTTCAACAATAACAGAAGTCTCCAACATCTTGCCAAATTTTATTATCACTACTGCCTCATTTAACCCAAAGGGCCCTGCTAAGGTCAGCACTGCCTGTTTGGCAAAGCAGAAACATTTTTAACCTTTCTACTTCTTGGGTCCTAAATCAGAGAACACAGGGAACCTGCTAGGGTAGAAAAGAAGTTATCCTCCCAGGGTTGAAACTTATTTCCCTGTGCAATCTCTCTAAAGCATGAGAAGCATCATTTCAAACTCAGGTACATTTGGGTTTTCCAGCCCTGACTATCTGATGGGGTTTTCTTCTTCTTGTTTTTTAACTTAACAAAAAAAAAAAAAAAAAACACCCATATATCCTTAACAAAAAAAAAAAAAACACTAGTGTGACTTTGGCAAGATGTGTTTGCCACACCCAGGAGTGCAACAAAAAAGCTACAGCAGGGCTTCAGGAAGTCAGGGTGCAACCTAAGGAGGAGGGAAGAGAGTTAAGCATCATCTCCAGGCCAGAGAGACAGCTCAGCGAACTCAGCGCATGCTTAGGCAAATGCGAGGACAGGGGTTCAATCCCTGGTACCACATGCCATGCCAGCCAAGCCGGCCCTGCCCCTGGGCACAATGAGCCTGCCAGAGACCTGGCACAGTGGTGCATGCCTATAATCCCAGGGCTGGGGAGGCTGAAAATGGGAGGATCACTATGAGTCTGAGCTGCACAGTGAGACCCTGGACCACACACACAAATTTTAAAAAAAAGACAGCAGCCATGCCTCAACCTGGAAAGGGTCTTAGAAAAGGGAAAACAATTCTTTATATACACATATAGGTAGATAATTTCCTTTGATGTAGATGTGGGTAGCTAAAAAAAACCAGTTCTAGAGTTGTAATAACCACTCAATACTACTGCAAGCAAATTTTTCAGTCAACAGTAGAGAAAAAGAAAGAAAAATACTCATGGGAATGGTTTACAGAGCACAAGTGCCTTCCTCATAACTAAGGTCAAAAGATAGCTAAAATGTGAAAGAAATCAAGATGAAGCATAATTTTGTTGTTTAGAAATATGGAAGGAAATGCAAGGAAAAAAGGTAAGATTTAAAGAGTAAAAAGGTTTATAAATCTAATAAAGAATTAGAGTAGCTGAAGTATTTATAAAATAGATTTATAAGAGACTTGGTGGATTTGGAGCAGAAAATGACACAAAAGATCATGAGTCTTTGTCATGAGACTTGCATTTATGTGCTTTTTCAAAAAATAAAGAGCAAACAAATATTGCTCATTATATGTAATAAATACATAGTCCAAAGTCCTATCTTGCCTTCTGTGTATTATGTGCAGTGTGTATTCTTCTAGATCTTTCCACATGTATAGAAACATGGTCTTTTAAAAAACAATTATTTTGAGGAGTTTTATGGGGGTATCAGGAATTGAACTCACAACCTCACACTTGCCAGGCAGGCACTGTGCTGTTGAGCTATTTCCCCAGCCCGGTCTTTTTAGAAATAAAAACACAAGAAAAGGCACCATACCATTCTATTTTGCAACTTTCTTGTTTTCAATGAACAGGAATCCCTTTTATCAGACATCTCTTCTTGTGCCTGAGCACACAAATCTCACCATTTTTCTTATGGGTACAGGATGCACAGTATTACAAAATAATGGGTCCTTTGCCCAGGTGGGTCAAATGCCAACTCAAGCATCCCCGTAGGTAGCGAGGGGCAGGAGTTGCACACGCCCCTGAGTCGGACCTCAGCATGAAAGCCAAGGTCCTGTGAGCTGTGCAGAGCTCTCCCTGCTCCAGCCCTCAGCTAACTCTGGACCACGGCCTAGGCACATGCAACAGCCCTCAGCTCACATCTTCTTGGTGTCCTCCCAAACAGGCATTCTCTCGCCTGAGCACACGGAGGCAGTGAGTCCTGGGTTCTCTCGCAGCACCTGTTCCAGCACCCTGAAAGCCTGCTCAGGGTCCTCAGAAGGAACCACCACTCAGGGTCCTCAGGAGGAACCTTCCCTTCTCTGGTACCTGCGGACCACGACTCCCCTGCTGTGAAGTGCTAAGAATGCCCGACGTTGCACACGTGTGAAGCGCCAGCACTGACGTGCGCTACCCATGCACGATCTAGGAAGCATGTACACGTTAACTAATTCAATCCTACAACACTGCAGAACAGCAATCATGCTTGCCAGCATTTTTCAGATAACTAGAGACATAAAGGGAGGGCCACGCTGTCCACTGGTGCTGGGAACCACAGTGGCTGGTTCCAGAACGCACGGACAATCAAAAAAGTCCTGACATTCTAGTTTTAGCACAAACTAAGCTGACAATTTCATAGTCCAGAAAGTATAATTAACACCATACTTGCTCAGCCCCTAAGTCAGCCTTGCTTTAACAGAATTCCTAGTCACCAGACAAGGGTGGAACCGGCCCGAATCCCTCTTCCTACTGGCAGCTATTTAAATGACACATCTAGCACCTAAAACCTGAGGTCCGTTCTGCTCTGAACCAAAAGGTCAACTATGAAGATAAGAAATCTATACACCTGCTTCATCTGGTGCCTCAACTTACTTTTGGACCGAAGTGAGTATAATCCAGACAAGCCTAGGCAAGAAGACAGAGCTTATCTAGTGACCAGCAACAGGACCACGAAGCAAGATCGCGTGGGCCCGTACTTGCTAACAAAGTGATTGAAGGTTTCTAGAGCTGAGTGTCCCACACAGGTGCCAGGAACATGAATCAGAAATGCAGGAGATTTTGAAGACTTAATAGCAAAAAAGAATGTGAACTATTATGACTAGGCTTTATTACAGTGATTTCTTGTTTGAAATAGTATTATTCTGATGCCCATCAATCTACGAATAGATAAAATTGTTTTTCATATGATGGAGTACTACTCTGCTATAAAAAGGGAAAAACTTGCGACATTTCTAGGTAAATAGATGTACCTTGAGACTATACTCTTTATGTGAAATCAGACACACATTTTGTAGTTTCTCTGATGTGAAAAATAAAAAATGTAAATAAGGACAAATATGTATGACAGATATTGGGGAAGAGGATGATAACGGGAAAGGGAGCAAGGAAAAGGAGTGAGAAAGGAAGGAAAAAAATTTTAAAAAAGAATCGAAAGGAAAAAATGGTAACAAGGCTTTGTAAATAAGGAGGGAAGAAGGGTTGAAAGGAGGGGAGATTAAGGAAAAAAGAGGAATCAAGATCTATCCTGTACAGGCACAAATTCCCTACAATGAATGTAATCATTATGTGTATCTAAAATGTACCAAGAGAAAAATTTTAAAAGCAAAACAATTACAAAATATTTTGAACATGTGAGATTTAAAAATAGACATTAAAATTAACTTCACATTACTTTTTTAATGTAGCTACAAGAAATGTTTAAGTGTTGCTTATGGTCAAGCATAGTGGCACACACCTATAATCCCAGCACCCAAGAGGCTGAGGCAAGAGGATCCCTTTGAGTTCAAGGCCAGTCTGGGCTACAAACTGAGTTCAAGACCAACCCGAGCTGCATAGTGAAACCTTGTCTCAAAAAAAAAAAAAGGCTTTACATACTTTTCTGTTGGACAGAGGCATTACAGAACAGTTAGACAGAACATTTTAAAGGTACCAATACTACCCACCCAGTACTACTTTATTTTCAATCACACTACTAACCGGAAGGAGAGTGCAGCAGAGGAGGAAGCCAAGGCTGGTGCTTGTCAGGGAGGCACAACTTACCTGCTCCTTACACAGGGAAGCCAGTCAACTGCTGGCTGTCATATGTAGCAACAGTAAAGCATCAATATCCTGCCAACGAAAGAACACATGTGCTGAGATCCTCTCACTAGGACTTCTCGCTCCTCCCACCCTTAGTCTTACACACGCATTACCTCACACCTTAAAGGTCACAATGGCTCCCAGCTGACTCAACTCTAGCTTCTCCAGCCAGCACCAGGCAACACCCCGTAATAGGATTCCATCCAATGAGCCCCTTCTGGGAGCCTGTGCAGAACCTCCGGGAACCCACTGACCAGGATGCGGGCTCTCTAGCACCACTCACCCACCACCCACCACCCACCAACAGCTGGCCGAGTAAAAGATGCCGCACCCTCTGGCCAGGAACATACCCATCTGTGCACTCTTAACAGGTGCGCACAGAGAGAAAACGTGCGTAAGACAAACTAAGTGCAGAAAGAGAAAACTTGTAAATAACCTAAATGTCTATCAACAGGAAATGTTAAATTCTATCACATAAATTTCAAACACAGAACTGTGTATACAGGGACATGCATACGATACATAAACACCTATATCCCATCAGCCACACTGTGAATTTAAAGCTGGTCGTTTTCATCCTACTCCTTTATGCAAACTGCACGACCTTCTCTCATCTACTATGCCCACTCTTCACTCAAGGCACTGACATGCTGATGCAAACTGTCTCCTCTGTCTGACTGCTGTGGCTGGTGTCTGGATGTCATCCCAGGGCCTCATGCCATCTTAGGGGTGGGCTTCTCCCAGGTGGCTGACTCTAGAATTTGTGAGGACTCCTGGTCCAATGGTAGGATTAAGGGTGGGAGTGGCCCACTTACTGGGGCCACTGACCCAAGGTCAGGTAACCTGTAAACAGCATAAGGCACACAAAGAGGCCAGCGAGATAGCTCAGTGGACTAACACCTGTTTTGGCAAGCTCAGGGACCAGGGTTCGACCCCTGGTTCCACACGTCATACCAGCCCTGCCCCCAGGCGAGCTGAACCTGCAACTGAGTCTGGGCATGGTGGTGCACACCCTGAAAACAGGAGGATTACTACGAGTCTGGGCTGTGTAGTGAGACCCTGTACCAAATACATAAAACAAAAAGAAAAAAAAAGACTGGCGTCCCACCCATCACACACTGATCTTGCTGGTTGCCCCTCTGACATGTTCTACCCTGCCTTGGAACCAGCTGATTATGGACTGAAATCTCCACACACTGAACTAATAAATCTTTCCTTCCTTAATTTGGGGCACTGGGTATTTTGTCTCAGCAGGGAGAGAAGCTACCAAGACATGAACATTCTGAATTTTCCTGTTTCCTCAATTAACATTTAACCTCTTTCCCTTTGGATATGTGGTGCTGGTAGGGCTCCAAGCCAGGACCTTCTCCACACTGGGTCTGTGCCCACCACTGAACTATGCACACAGCGCAGCCCCAATGTCTCCGTCTTCCATGTCTCTTTCTGTTATTCACGCTGTGGTGCTACTGACTGAACCCAAGAGCTTCCACGTGGTGGGCATGTGCTCCACCACAGAGCTGCATCTCCTGCCCTCTCTCAACACTTGCAAACTACAAGGAAATATTAGAAGTTTGATTAAATTCTAATCAAAAATTGGCCTTTGTGCTACACACCTTTCTCCCAGCACTTGGGAGGCTGAGGCAGGAAAGATCACCACAAGTTCAAGGTTAACCTAGGCTACTCAGTGAGATATTATCTCAAAAAACAAAACAAGAGAAACATTTTAAATAATGAATTCATATTGAGAGTTACGATCTGAATTGAGCACTGTTAGATTTTCTTTTTGCTTAGTTAGCTTCTTTTGAGTTGTGCTTGTAACTCAGCTGGCTCCTAACATTAGCAAAAAGGCTCCAGCGGCTTTAAGCCACAGTGCGTACCATGGTGCCCTGAAAGTGCCAGTGTTACAACTAGCAACAGAACAAGCATGAAGTTTCAGATCTCTCTGTAGTTCTTTCTGCCCTCAGTGCACACACTGTTTACTATGCAATGCAAGGAATCGTTCCAAATACCACTTAGTGTTCAAGTAACTATGTGTTTTTACAAAGATTCACTTGCTTGTTTGCCCTCAATCTGTTTTTATTTTTATTTTATTTTTTTTTTTATTTTATTTATTTGTGTGTGTGTGTGTGTGTGTGGCCAGCTCAGCCCACCAGGGTGCGAGGCCGGCTGGCATGTGGTGCTGGGGGATTGAACCGTGATCCCTGTGCTTTGCTAAGCTTGTTCTAAGTAGGTGCTTTAGACCACTGAGCCATCTCACCAGCCCCCTCAATCTGTTTTTAATTTCACTATTAATTTAATGAGTATAAACCCGTGTGTGTGTGTGTATGTGTTTCTAAAGTTAAAATTACACAAACAGGTGTACTCAAAACTCTCACCTCCTTTTTCGTTTCCTTTGCTCCACTGCCCTGGCCCTCAACCACAGGACAATAACTAGTTTCAAATTGTCTTTGTGGCTTTTTCCTTTGCAACATAAATGAAGTAGTATATCAGACTTATTCTCTACCCCAATTCTAACTCCCTGCTGTTGTATACCTGCTTTCCTGACTTCCTGTGCAACTAGGTTTTGGTCACATGACTTCAACCCAGCAGGTAAGCATCTACACTTAGGTCTAACTTGAAGACAGTGTACAAAATGTAGGGAGTGCTTAGAAACACTGGGACAAAGGGCCGGCCTGGTAGTTCAGCAGACTAAAGCGCCTGCTTAGGAGAGCGCAGCGACCAGGGTCTGATCCCCAACATGCCATGCCAGCCCACGGGGCGCGCTGAGACAGCAACTGAAACCAGGCATGGTGACACACGCCTGTAATCCCAACACTCGGGAGGCTGAAAACAGCAGAACCACTACAGCTCTGATCTACATAGTGAGACCCTGTAGACCCTGTCCTAAATATAGGGGGGGAAAAAAAAGGAAAGAAAAAGAAACATTGGGACAAGAGCCAAAGATCCCAATTACAGTTGTGTGACAAATTTCTTTTCTGCTAATTAGGGGTTTTGTTGCTTAACACTAAGGACTTGCAGCTTAACACTAAGGACTATGATCAAGCAATCTGGGGAGATAAACAGCAATGAAAAGGCCGTTAGCCACAATGAAGAGAGCAAAGGGAAACTGACAAACGTGAACAGATCATCGTACACAGCCTCAGAAGCAACTGGCACAACACAGACTGTAGTGTTTGCTAGGGTCACTTTTCTCTCATTGCTGGGACAAAATACCTGATACTCAAAATTAAGGAAGGATTTATTTAGCTCACAGTTTGTGGAGGTTTCAGTCCATACTCAGCTGGCTCCAAGGCAGAAAGGCACACTGCAGAGAGCAGCAGTTCATGGTGGTGGAAAACAGCAAGAGCAGAAAAGGAGGGGCGGCGGCAGCAGGACAGGCAGCAAGCAAGCCCCTCTCTCCTACTCAGCAGGCAGGCTCTCCACAGGTGCAGCGCTCACACCCATAATCCCAGCATTGGATCATGAATGAATCACAAACTCTAGAAGCTGCCCCATGACTGTAAGAGGCTTTGTGGGAACTAGACACAAACCATAACTATTTTTGTTTGAGAGAAAGAGACAGACAGACAGACAGACAGAGAGAGAGAGAGAGAGAGAGAGAGAGAGAGAGACAGACTGACTGACTGACTGACTGCAGTTCAGAGTGGACTTGAACTATGTAGCCCAGGCTGGCCTCTGACTCACAGCAATACTCCTACCTCTCCCTCCCAAGTGCGAGGATTACTGTTATGTGCCACTATACCGAGCCCTGTCAGAATGCTTTAAGCAGGAGTACTGTGACATTTTTATAGAGCTACCCTTGTTATTATATGATGTACACATAGGGAAGGCAGAAACTGGGCAGTGTATACAGCTACACCAAGGGCTAGAACTGAAGCAGGAACACTACTGAGGACACTATTTCAGGCAAGAGCTGATGGACTCAGGCTAAAACAACACTTGTGTGACCGTTTACCTTCAATCAAGATGATTAGACTAGGTTTAAAACTAATAATTTTTAATATCATTTTATGCTTTCCCTTTGGCCACTGTTTTATTATTTCCTTTTCAATTAATTAATTAATTTGTATTTCAGGGAAGGGTCTGCAGGGTGTTCAGGGTCTCACTACTATATCAGACTTGTAATGATTCTCCTGCTTACAGCCTCCCAAGTGCTGGGATTTCAGGCGCGGACCAAGATGCCCAGTCTCAGCGCACCCCAGGGGCGGGCTGGCACTGCAGGCCTGGGGACTGAACCCCAGTCACTGTACCTGCTTGCAAGTGCTTTAATCTGCTGAGCTATTCGGCTGGCCCAAAATATTTATTGATTTGGTATGAGTCACACTATGCAGCTCGGACTCATAGTGATCCTCCTGTCTCAGCCTCCCCAGAGCTGGGATTCAGTGTGGGGCTGGCACGGCACGCAGGACCAGGGATCAAATCTGGGTCCTTGCACTTGCCAGGCAGGTGCTTAGACCGCCAAGCTATCTCCCCAGCTGTATTATTTCTTTTCTCTCTTTTTTGGCCTCCTTCTATAGAGGTTCTTGTTTCCTCTACTGATTTGTAAATTAAAGATACTTTTTGTTCTTTTACTGGTTCTGCATGAAGTCTAAAGTTAATCAGAATTTTTACTTTGCCTTCTCTAAAAATCCTATGGATTTCTAAAGGACCCACAGAACACATCAACCAAACACAATGCGTAGTCCTTGTTTGGACTCTAGTTTGAAGAAACCAAATGAAAACCAGATCTTTTCTGAGATAATTTGCAAAATGTGAACACTGCCTGTATATGTATATATGAATATATGAACTGTTGCTTCTTTTTTTCTAGACATCATACTGGAATTACAGTTTACGTTGTTGAGATCAACGAACAGGATATTCACAGCCGAGATACGGTGACCCACTCACCTCCCTCAGTCAGGGCCTTGCTTTGCATCTATGAGACACTTGCCAAGGCTCAGGGACGGCTCCCATTTCCCAATATGCCTCGCCTGCTGTACTGCCCACGTCCCTCGTCCCTGCCATACAGGATGCATTGCACGCCGCCC